TGGAATGTGGTGCTTGGTTAACACACGTCCTATGTTTGCCAGCTTTCGGTTGACTGCAATTTCTTTTGTGCACTACCCTAATATTTAGACATCTGAAGATCGACGCCCTTGAATGTTGCCTATTGATCCATGTATCCGGCTGTATATCGATTTGCCGCAGGTAACTCTGTTGCAAGCTTTGTTGCTTAATCTCACTTTCGATGGGCTGACATGTGCACACACTGAACGAAGCAAATTTTTGGATCACAGTAAATCTATCTGCAAATATTTTGCTTCTTTATAACTGAAGTGACATTCATTGATTACTCTCTGAAATGTAGTAGTTGAAAACAATGGTTTGCAACTCAACAATACGTAGAATAGTCCCCCTGTGCTTGTGATCGCTGTTAATCTGAACTGACCCTTGTGCTTTCAACTTTCTTGAATATCTTGCTTTGGACAGTCTCTTGGTAAATGGCGTTTAAGTGTGCATGGTTGTGGGTGCAGTAGACAATGCTCCCAGAAGTTGTAATGTCACTGTGCATAATTTTCCTATTCCACAATTTTAGTAACTAGAACTGTGTTCTATCACCCGGATAAACATGAACAATCCAGATAGAACAAACATTGTAGTTCAGAAGCTCAACAGTTGGGGCCGTTAGGTAGGAGTAACCAGTCCGTGTAAGTTGGCAACGACGCACATAGTCCTGGTCGTAGGAGTCCGAGCTCCACTGTCACTAATCAAATAGACGATGGCCATTTACTCGTCTGGAGAATGAAGTAAAACGTCACATGCAACTGTTGTGTGTGCATGCTAAGTTGACTGATAGGAGACAATCTGAGTCAAGGAATTTGTCAATTAAATGAAGTGGTTATTTGGCTGGCCTCTGCGTCTTCAGAAGAATATCGCCAGACCAGGTTGACGCATTCATTCACAAAATGCGAAAAATACCAGATGGAAGGACGTGTCCGTGTGCGGGCCCAAAAAGAAGTTTAAACGACTTGTTCGTATTTTTGTCAATTACCACTTTTGCAAAGCACGAACAGCAGTTATAAAAGTTTATATCACCGTAACTCATATTGTCCACGTAGTTTGACAGCTATATTCTGGAACTCCGGTCTGACTCGTGTGCGTGTATACATTTACATCACTATAAGGTATCCTCAAATTGCTCCTATGATACATAAAAAACGAAAGCACGTTGTTATGGGAACCCATGAGCATGATGCCAAAAGGAGCATCCTTGTTTATGGAGTGCAGGGCACCATATGATCATCATTGTCATGGAAAACATAACCTTCTGGCTTATGGAAACACCGAAATTCTCTAATTCGATGTCTAGATTTACAACAGCTGAACACTTAGAGAGATTTCCACCGGATGGTCCTGATGGTGACGAATTAGTTGTCACAAAGGCATTAATTTGAGATGACACGTCTGCCTTGGAAAACAAGCCGTTGTTAGGTTGTGTTTGTAATAGGTCACACAAGCGGCCACATTAGCGTAATTTCGGGCGCCTAGGTTTCGAACTGCGCTATTCAACTGCCCATAAACAAGCTATTTCCAGGTATGGCCAAACGGACAACTAGAGTAAATATTTCCTCACCAAACTTTATCTAGTCCTAATTATGTTCACTGTTCGAAGAACTCGTGGTTTTGTGATACGATCTGTCCGTCTGGTTCTAATATTCCGAGTGGATTAGGTTGGCTGTCGAAACTTGCCACCTATGAGGTTTCTAGGTCTGGTTGCCCGACTGCTCTGAAGAGAGCCCAACAAATCATTGGACTTCAATCTCTGTATCTGTGGGCAGGTAATGGTAACCAAAGAACGCCAGATGCACTGCTTGTCTTTGGAAATTCTGCACTCAGTTTCGTCAAGTAAACGAAAACCCACGAAACGCGCTATCTCGCGATTAATTAGTTGAATATTTAGTGCTTTATTTGGAACCTCTAGCATGGGCTACAAAACGCGAGTATTTTGGAGGCCTTTTGACTTAAGCCAGAGAGAGATTATGCTGTGGTAAGGAACCTTCTCCTTAATATGGTGACAAGTGAAGCGGAGTATACCAGCTACAGTTTTGCCCATTGTAAACGAGAGGCTTTCTGTTCGACGTAAGTTTCCTTTCCTCCTTTGTACGCTTAATGTCTCCCAACTGGCAGATTTTGTGCAGCAGGTGGATAAGTCATTTGTGTGATCGGGTAGTCTCAGCTTGTGCAAATGTGCAGGTTTGCTGTCCTATACTCGCGTCTTGTTCTGTCGCGGATTTATAGTTGTTTGTAAATCAGCAAACTGGGCCTTATATACATTCTGGTAAAGCTAATCTATGTAGATAATGTGGCGTCCTAGCGCTTTCACTTCATTACGGAATGCTGTAACTTCCGAGCCGCCAATCATTGTGATGTCCAACACATTCTTTTCTTAAATTGATATTTCCATCTGCAGTTTGTCTTCATCAAAACTACGCTGTCTATTTTAATTTGGTTCATTACATCCGCCTTGAGCAATATCCTTATTTGGTCTCACTGTCTAACTAGTATGCTCTTCATTGTC